AGCCGAATTTCTTTAACATCTTTGCAAAAACGAGAGATATGTGTCGTTAAATGTGAATATCCGCATCTCACGCTAACTGAAGCGGAAATAAGACCAACCATCTCTCTCCGCCAGGCAGTTACTGCTTTGAAAACAGTAACCCAATTTTTACAGTATTCAACCGGGTCGGAGATTCTACCAGAAGACATTGTATCTAGTTATGTATATGAAGATAAAAAGCTAAAACTTTGAACAACATTACTTGTTGGTAATCGTCTTGTTCACAGTCTATGACTGTAAAATGATAGAGCTTAACAAGATGTACAACCTTATTTATTATCGAAATTACTGTTGTCGTAAGAAAAATTCATGCCATTGTCAAATTAATAATGATTTTGTGTAACACATACAGTATATAATCTTGCAAGTCAAATGAACCAGTTTGACCTTCATTAATTATAATACGTTATCTACCATAATTAACATTAAAATATCGTTTATTCCTCCTTCCCCTTCATATCACCATATAAATAATTATTCCATATGGAAATTTACATCCATGTTTTGCTATTTCACTGGTACTAATGAACACAGTTTTTGGTATTTATAAATAAATAATGTAAGTAGCTTTTTAGTTCTATTTGCATTGCGTGTCAATAAAATGGTAATTTTCTCTTTGCTTTGTTTATTCCTAATAAAAACCCAGTTGATAATCTACACGTAAGCTCGATCTTACAACACAGACTACAATTAACATTATCTGGTTAATCTTATTTAATGATGGCCTTCGAGTCTCACCAATTTCTGGAATCTCTTTAACTCGTGCACTATGAGACTCACTATGTTTATATTTATTGAATGCACTAATACTAATAGAGTACTTCTCAAGTTAACCAGATGATGTTTAAATCTATTGTTCCTAACAACCCCGCAAATGAGGAGCCTGTAATTTTTTTAATTATATTCAGGTACCTGAATCCAAACTTTTGGCAAATCCGAGGAGCATAGAACATGCTTTTTGCTTGATACGGATCAGGCCAATTGTGAGCCATTTAGCAAAATTTAACGTTTTTTTTTTGGCTTTGGCACGTTTTTCTTCAACAAACAAATTTCGCGCTTGTGCAACAGTGAAATAATGTTACGTTGTTTGCTTGTTGAGATATATTGGAAGCATGTCAAAAAACATATTTAAAATATAGTAACGCACGTCGTTTATGTATTATTTTCCTACGTCGGCAACATTAATCGTATGCATAGCTGAACAATATCTTACTGAATTTAAAGTACTACAGATGGATATAAATATGATCAAAACTATTGGCACACAAATATGACTACAAGAATGACTTCCATAAGCAAGTGTGTAAAATGTGCCAAGTGGTGCCGACACGTATAAAGGATGAGACTGTGAGTAGTTAAACGCCCGATGAAAGGTCATTAACTGTTTCATCGTACTTAATCGAGGAAGAAAACTCTCTGTTTTGCCTGAAAAAGTTAAAGCTTAGTGTCAATCATCATTCAAATTCGAGATGGTTGGATTACATTGATAAACTCATATCGTAAATACGCCATATCTGTTCTTTCCGGTATAAAAAAAATTTCTATTAGCAATTTGCCGGTATGTGAAGAGATGTCCGGTATAAACAAAGTGGAACGAACGAGATTCCGGTATATACATGCCCGGTATAAACAGGTTTGATTGTATTACGTGTAAATTACATAATTGTCGCTTTAAATATACGCTTCGAGGAAAAAAAGTCATCAGCCTAAAGCGTGCAAGAGTTCATACAAACAAGGTCTCAACTGAATCTAGATAATAAACGCGAAATTTGCGAATATGCTAAACGACATCCGAAAGCGAAGCATGGTGAAATAGCAAACCATTTTAATAAGAAATTTAGCCCTCCATAGACTGCTCAACTGTTAGCAAAATTTTAACAAAAAAAGAAAAATGGCTTGCTCTTCCTCCAAGCAACAGACTTCTGGCACCTTTTGTCAACGTTCTGTAAAAGATTCCAAGCTAGATAATAATAAAGCTATTGAATTACGGGTAAGCCAAGCTATTGCGGCAAGGTTACCTTTATCAGACCAAATACTTCAAGAAAAGGGTATTTGATCTCATTATAATATAAATAAGAATAAAATGGGGATAATAACAATATAACTTTAATCACATGACTGGATACAAACCCTTCTATACAGTCACACTTCCATACTGTCACCAGTTTTGCCTGGTCCCGACGGTGTGACTGTAGGGGAGGTCGACTGTACTCGGCAAGACATAAAATTTCACCATCCACGATCGATAGCGTTAACATATGGCGGCAAGCACCAAGTTTATATTGTGGATCTGTTTCGAAGATAGTGAAAACCCCCTTCAAATTTCCCATTCAATACGCTACTACGCATCCCGACTTGAGTGATCTCGCAGCCCTTCTCTATCAAAGGGGACGCCTCAAGAAGCTCAGTCTTGATGAGGACGATCTCGTGTTCTTTGGCAGTTACAATCACACAAACTATCACGACATTGAGGAAGATGATGATGAGCCCCTTCGCCGCGATATTTTTCTGTCCGATTTGGAGACTTCTGCCGCCGATCCACTCATCGTTCGTTTCCCGCGATCGAAACACGCAGGTGACTCAATACATTGACTTCTTATGTCTAGCATAGCAAAATCTCATTTGCTTTTTCCTCATAGTTGTTGCCAATCTTGAGGTCCCAGTCTCTTCCAAGAAACACAAATTCACTATGCCTCATTCCACTGGCACTTGGTTCATGCTACTTGAAGATACGCGCCAGAATTGGAAGATCACTTCAAAGACAAGGAGACAGATCTGATCATTGATAACGAGTTTGGTCTAAAAATGATTGGTTGAAGAAAATCAAGCCGAACAATCGAGATGAAATAGTTGTCTGCCTTATTGTCTTAGTCAAAAGTTTGGTTGATCTTAATTTATATTGAAAATTTTATTCACTTCTCTATGTTATACAGTGAAGGACCCCAGTGAAGAATACAAGGAACTCATTGGGGATAGGGACAATTTAGTCTTTACAGTTGAGAAATTCAATAATTTCAAGCTTTCAGACTTGCAACTAGCGGAAAACGCGATTACAACAGCTCAATATTTATCCATCGCGCAACAAACTGATGAGAGCGACCCTCTGGAAATCCTTCTTGTAATCTGAAATAAACTATCCATATGCTCCTAAGTCGATTCCATGGGACTATGTACTCGCTGCGTATAAAAAAATCATCATTATCTATTTCAGCGGCCTTGCCTTTCTTCTCAGGTAGTCGTGGTTGTTGGCGATAGTTTCTGGTTTCTGATAGTAAAGTGATAAACAATTACATCAATTTCAAGTAATAGATATGTTATTGTAAATAATTGACATATTACAGTGATTACCTTTATTTGACTTGCGCATAATTCTCATGCGTGTCATCTCATTTAACCAGTCATTTAGTCTGTTCCTCCAGACACTTACGGATTCCTGCGGGCAATTACCTTCATTTTCGAAACACTTTATTTCAAATAATGCGTCATTTATAAATTTCCTTGGGACGTCTGGAGGCTCTGTCCGCTCACCAAAGACATTTTTCAATACTTGCTGAAATTCAGTCCAAATATATCCGCATTCTCTGGGCATTTCAAAAAGGTTTTCTTATAAACCAGAAAATCATTAGAAGGAGATTAACGACGAAATAATTATTAAATACATAAGATTAAAAAGTGGAAAAGTAATAATTACCACTGACATCGCTTTCACTGTCTGAAACATCAAGTGTTATTGTCTCCCTGACATCTACAAAAATTGTTAGAATCTTGTTTGTATAAGCAATTTCTGACTGTATTTAATACCCACCATCCATCTCAGTTGCATCATTTGCTTTGGTGTCTGATATCACATCTGCAGAAGAGTCTGAAATTTTTAAAACCAGTTATGTTAATAAAAAATATTGTAAAGACATTCCGTATCAGCCAAGACCTACCAGCATTCATATAAACATCAATATCTTCATCGTTTGCAATAGATTCTGTCAAATAATTTGGATCCATTTCTGATGTAATAATAAGCCAAATTACATATATTAATGTTGATTAACGTTACCAGAGATAAATAGTGTTGTCTTTTTCTTTTGCAGCCTACTATGCTATTGGACCATCATGTTACGGCGAGCTGATCGGCTGACGTCGATAGTAAGTCACATGGTAAAATCTTCCTCCGCAGTAATCAAACAATA